TGTCATCTGGCTCAAAAACAACTGTTACCACCAAAAGAAAAAAGACAACAAATGGAAAAGGCAGCCAGCCAGTCATACCAGAAGGTAGAGCATAAGAAGCTGTCACTAACAGTAACTACAAAATATGAAAACCTCAAGGAAATTCAACTGGAAGATCTCTTTTACTAATTTTCCAGGAACAATCTAAGAAGCCCAATTTAAAAAAAAAATCATCTGAAGTCTCTCTCTCTCTCTCTCTCTTTTTTTTTTTTTTTTTTTTTTTTTTTGGTTTTTCAAGACAAGGTTTCTCTTCTGTGGGCTTTGGAGCCTGTCCTGGAACTAGCTCTTGTAGACCAGGCTGGTCCCGAACTCACAGAGATACGCCTGCCTCTGCCTCCCAAGTGCTGCTATTAAAGGCGTGCGCCACCACCGCCCAAGCAGAACAGTCTTTTAAAATTGTTATCACGTATATCCTGTCAGTTCACCCCAACATACTAGGTAAGTCACAGTCATTAACCCAAAGAAGGCTTAAAGTTAAACCACAGATCTCAATTCTGAGGAGAGATAAATGTCTTCCTGAGTTGTGGGAATGTTGAAACAATTACAGTCAAGTGAGAGGGGGCAAAAGAAGAGACAAGGCCAATTTTTAAGTAAAAGAAACACATTGGAAAAAGTATCTTGAACAAAAATCATTTTCTTCTGATACTGTAATGGAGCAATAGGCAGTGAACATTCTCCTGTTGAACTATACAGAACAACCAAGAAAAGCAAGAACAAGAGACCAGAGGAAAGCACAAATAGAGAAACCCAAAGAAAATGCCTCAGAACAAATGCATACAACTGACTCTAGATGTCAGTGTGGTGCCAGAGACTTCAGGCCCAGGGAATGCAGGGCCATATACTTGTATGAGCCTAGGAGGAAGGCCAGGTACAGCAAGGTCTTCACTATTTCTAAGAGGTGTGCAGTGGATTGTTCTTTGAATATAAAGTACCAACAAGCTTACACTGCTCATTAAACTAGATCACAGTGTATTCTACTAGTTCAGTTTCTTTTTTTGCATAAAATTATAATTTTAACAAATTAATCATGTTATTACATTTTCATTTGTACAGCATAATTCTCTTAAGTGCATCCTTCTCCCTGAACAGGTCTCACCATATTACCAACCCTAATGAAGACTGGGTGAGGAAATCAAGCAAACAGATTAAAAAGAAACACAGGCGGGGCCAGAGAGGCAGCTCAGAGGTCAAGAGCAGCGGCTGCTCTTCCAGAGGAACCAGGCTCAATTCCCAGCACCCACATGGCAGCTCACAACTGTCTCTAACTCTAGTTGTAGAGGATCCAACACTCTCACAGAGACATGCAGGCAAAACACCAAAAATAAATAAATCTTAAAGAAAACAAAACACAAGACTGATTCTTCTAAGTTATTAGTCTATACAACAAAACTGTAGTTGAATGCACAACACTGGCACCCCCCCAAATCAAGAGTAATCACTTCAAATATAATTGCTTTTTGTTAATTAATTAAGCCGAGCAGGCTAAGTACACTCATGCACCCGCACAAGAAGCCCACTCTGCGCCTCAAAGTCTCCAGTCCTCACAAGTTCCCATGGAAATCATCAGGATCTAATTAGAGACTTGAAGAAAGGAAGCAGTAACAGCAAAACAGAGTGCTCCAGACAATCTGCAGAAGTAACAGGTCAATAAAGGTCACCCCTAGCAACAAGGCTTTGTCTCAAATTTGCAATGTGTCACAGGCCAGACTCCTCAGATCCACAGGCAGCTCTAGACACCCACAATCAAGGAGCTTGTTCTCAGTCTTAAGTGAAGACTGCACTCTTATTTAGCTTGACTTCTTTTCAATGTTTCTTGTCAGAAACACAAGGAAATGAAATTTGTGGTTAGACTGATGTTTCTTCCTCCTGCTTTTCCACCTCCTGCTATGCCAGGAAGTAGCATTAAAATTCTATCATGTGGTTGCCCATCAGGACACAGGAAGCCAGAACCTCACAACTCAATGACTAGTGAGTGCAGTGTGGAGATGAAGCCAAGGCTTAGTCATAGAGAATGGCACCGCAGCAAGGTCAGATCAGAGGACACTTACTGGGTCTTTTCACTGTGTAACATACACATGATGTTTATGATATATAGGGCACTGACACTTGAAGCAGGGTGAAAAGCATTCAACAACACCAATGTAATGTACAGAAGTATGTTCAAAGAGAGGCCATCCATTCCATCCATTTTCTTCCTGCCCTCCATGTCTATAGATTTTTCCATTTTCAAGCCCAGTATAGGAAGCAAGCACCTGTAACCCACTTTTTATGTTTTTGGTTGTAAGCCTAGCCTTTGACAGCTGAGTTATCTCTCCAGCCCCTGTAACCTACTTCTTAGAAGCAGGAGTACAATCAGGAGTTAAAGTCATCCCCAATTACTTAAGGTTACATGAGACTGTCTCAAAAACAAATCTAGGAAGATGGCTCAGTGATGAGGACTCAATCTAGCATGCTTGTATGCAAGCATGAGACCTGAGATAGGTGTGGGAGCGTGGAACTGTAATATTGGGGGTGGGGGCTGGGGGGTACAATAGGCAGCTACCTGGGGCTATCTGGCCAACCAGTCCAGCTATAAAGCAGCAAGTTCCAGGTACAATGAGACCCTATCTCAAAAAATAAAGAAGAGCAACAGAGACAGATAACTGATGTCAACCTCCTTTACCTGCCCACCCACACACACACACACACACAGAGAGAGAGAATTTCCTATTTTCCAAAGCAACAACAAACCTTTATATTTGAGGTAAATGTAAAGACCAGCGTTAAGTACAAAGGGAAGACCCTGTCAGGTTGGCCTACCACTGTAAACCCAGCATGTGGGAAGCAGAAGAAACAAGGAGGATCTTGAGTTTCAAACCAGCTCAAGTTTCAGGAACCTGTCTCCAAATCAAGCAAGCAAACAAGAAATAATAGGGGGTGGGCAGGAGGGAGGGTGGACAGACAGAGGGACTGACCGATTATGGTCATGGGTGAAAAATAAGGACAAGAACAGAATTAAAGAACATGTAAGCACCTTAATTAAAACGTTTAAATAAAAAGATTAAAAAGGTTAACCTCAAGCCTGGCAGTGGTGGCACATGCCTTTAATCCCAGCACTGGAGAAGCAGAGATAGGTGGATCTCTGTGAGTTTGAGGCCAGCCTGGTCTACAGAGTGAGTTCCAGGACAGTCAGAGCTACACAGAGAAACCCTGCCTCGAAAAAACAAAAAACTAAAACCAAAAAAAGATTAACCTCAGTCATGACATAAATCCTAGCACTGGAGAGATAACACAAAGAGATTAAAAAGTAAAGGTCATCTTTGGCGACATAGTAAATTTGGGGCTAGCCTGGGCTACATAAGACTGTCTCAAGGGAAAAAAGAAATAAAAGACTAAAGATTTTTAAAATATTAACATATACAACAAGTAGTTTTATATTAACTTATCAAAATGCAGGAGGGAATTAAAACCATAATTCTCAAGATCACCTAAAGTACAAACCACAGCATCTTAAAAGGATGAATTACTGTGATATTAAGTTACAGTGTCAGAAGCCATAGTAAACCTAAAAGCCAGGAAACAGCCCATCTCTTCTAGCATACATACTCTTCAATCAATATTAATGAAAACCAAAACCGTTCATTTACAAAAATCACATTACAAGGGTTGGAGAGATAAATGGCTTCAAGGTTAAGAGCATGCTCTGGTCTTCCAAAGGACCCAAGTTCAGTTCCCAGAACCCAAGCAGGGCAGCTCCAGTCCCTAGGAATCTGATGCCATTTTCTAGCCTCTGCAGATGCGCAAGGGAGCGCGCGCGCGTGCAAACACACACACACTACACACACACACACACACACACAAACACAAACACACACACACTACACACACACTACACACAGGAAATTCAAAAAATGACAGTAAAATTCATTTTTTTAAAAATCCTGTTACTCGGCTGACCTCACAAGGGTTAGCTCTTGAATCCCAGACTGATGCCTGGGAATCCAGCATGGGACTGATTAAGACCCCCTGAATGTGGGTGTCAGTGAGGAGGCCTAGGTAATCTATTGAGCCTTGGGTAGTAGATCAGTATTTATCCCAGGTATACAAGTGGACTTTGGACTCTCATCCAACAATGTGAGATGCACTCTCACCCTGAATTCTTGGGTGAGGGTCTAGGCCCTGCCCTGGATGAAATGACAGACGATGGGCATCCCCATGGAGGGCCTCACCCTCCCTGGGGAAATGAGGGGATATTGGGGGAGTTGGGGAGAGGGCACAGGAGGAGGGGAGGGAAATGGAGAGGAACCTGGAATTGACATGTGAAGCAACCTTGTTTCTAATTTAAATTTAAAAATAAAAAACATATATATATATATATATAATAAATCCTGTTACTCAAAGAAATGATACATACTGGGACATGAATGTCTTCAAAAGGGAACACTCTTCATTTTTAGTGTCTGGGACAAGAAGACAAAACAGTCATGATTTAGCAAGTATCTACTAGCAGATTAAAAGATAGGATTCACTGCTTGACTTGGCTTATAAGCCACTAAATAAATGGCTCTAGCATCATTTAAAGCCAGAGAGTAGACACAGTTGAGTATAAATTATTATAGTGCCAGGGGAGTACCAGAGTGCTATAAAATCTGTATTAAGATAAGCATTAACGCTGGGCGTTGGTGACGCATGCCTTTAATCCCAGCACTTGGGAGGCATAAACAGGAGGATCTCTGTGAGTTCGAGACCAGCCTGGTCTACAGAGCGGGTTCCAGGACAAGCTCCAAAACAACACAGAGAAGCCTTGTCTCAAAAAAAACAAAAAGAAAAAAATATAAGCATTAACGAAGGTGACACATACATGGCTATTATTTTAAACTCTAAGCAACTAAGAAACACTAGTCTGTTTAGTTGTTCATAACATAAAATCAAAAAGACCAAGAGATAGCCATTCTGAGAAGAGTTGGCCTGCCCACACTTACCGTTTTCCACATAGGGGTGAAAGGGCAAAACCAAGGCAAGGATGACCCTGCCTTGGGTGGGCTCCAAGACACTTCTGATATCTTTTAACAATGTCAGGGGCTGATCACACCGATCCAGCAGATTTAAGCAGCTGATGACATCATACTGGAACCCTGTATTCTGCCATTCATTTATACCAAGCACTCTGGAAAAATCAGAAAGAACTTGGTTAATATTTCTCCAATTTAGAGACAGCTTTAAAAATGACCATGACAGTCGGCGGTGGTGGCGCACGCCTTTAATTCTAGCACTTGGGAGGCAGAGGCAGGCGGATCTCTCTGAGTTTGAGACCAGCCTAGTCTACAAAAGCGAGTTCCAGGACAGCCTCCAAAGCCAAAGAGAAACCCAGTCTCGAAAAACAAACAAACAAAAAAACTATGACAAGCAAAGAGTATAAGTGCACTCCTTTAATACCAGCACTTGGGAGGCAGAAGCAGGTAGGGCTCTCTGTGAGTTTGAGGACAGCCTGGTCTATATACCAAGTTCCAGGACAGCCAGAGATACATAGTGAGACTCTTCTCTTGAAATAAAACAAAATGAAAAACTGATATGCTAAGTCAATGTGGATTGGATTCAAAATAGATAGCTATAATTTATGTTTACAACTATACAAAGAACAGGTAAGAAAAAATGGCAACTGTGGAGGCCAGAAGTCGACATTGCGTGTCATTCCTCAGATGCTATCCATTTTCAATTTTTTAAAGACAGGGTCTTCCATTGGCCTGGATTAAATGCAATGCAGGGCAGTGAGCCCTGGGATTCTCCTGTATCCATCTCTCAAATGCTAGGATAATAAATTCATGCCACTACACTCAGTTTTTCACATGGGTACGGGGGCATTGCCTAAGTCCTTATGCTTGCATGCCAAATACTTTCCTGACTGAGCTAGATTCCCCAGTCCATATTTTACCTTATAGCATTTCTTCCTTTCTTTCTATTTTATCTTTTTCTTTCTTTCTTCTTCCTTTCTTCCTTCCTTCCTACCTACCTACCTACCTACTTAGCTAGCTAGCTACCTGCTTTTTGAAATGGTGTATTACTATGTAGCCTTGGCTGGACTCCTGCTTCTGCCTCCTAGCACTGAGATTACAGTACTGTTTTTAGCTTTTCTACTTTTATGTCTATGTCTGTACTACTGCACACTTGTGGGAGTCAGAAGACACTTTCTTCAGAAGTCTCTGAACACACAGACTTCACACCTAATAAGAGTCTTCCTAAGTCTCCCAAGGACCAGACAGTTTGCAAACTGAACTCGACCTTTATACCCATCATTACTGACAGCTGTCTTGGGTAGGAGGTGGGGTCCAACTACCGTCAGGGATGTGAAGAAACTGGTTAGTGGGGATGTAACTGGTATAGGTGCTATAGGAAAGGTACAGTGAATTCTCAAAAAGTTACACAAGAACTCAGGGGGACTGGAGAGATGGCTCAGCAGTTTGGAGCACTTAGCTTTTGTAGAGGACCTGGATTTGATACCAAGTACCCACATAGTGGGTTACAATCATCTGTAACTCCATTTCTAGGGAATCCCAACACAATCTGTTACTCTTCTAGCCTCTATGGGCACCAGGCATGTATGCACATGGTACGCAGACACACATGTCGAGTGGGAATCAAGATTCACTAGACCCAGCACATGTTAAATGACATTTATTTGGAGAGATAACACTTACACAAGAGGCAGGTGGCTGCCACAGGCTTCAGCTCCAAGGACACAATGCAGAAGCAGAGTGCTGGCCTACCAAGCACAAAGCCCTGTGTTCAACCCCCAGTAGACTTTAAAACCGAAATCCATCTAAAACCAAGACATGCCCAGTACCCCCAGCACACCTCTAGAACAGGTTACCTGTATTTCTTCTTCTGAAGTTGCCAGATCATTGTTTCAGAAAGCTCAGTGGCATAAATTTCTTCAAAATGAGGGCTCATGATTTTTGTGACTTCTCCATCTCCAGCACCTAAGTCAAGAAGTCTATGAGTTTTCCAGTCCGGATTGATTTTAAGCAGTCTCTGAAACTGATCTGGTGAAAACACAAACATCGAGCCTCTTCCTAGCAACCTGGGAAAAAAGGATAAGAGCTGAAGTCTATACATATTAGTACTTCTATGTATACACAGAGCCAACAGCACCAAAAATTTTTTACTTTATATAATTATTATATGATTAAAACATAGTTTATTTTTTATGGCTAAAAGGCAAAGGCAAAGGATATCATGAATTTTTTTTTAAGTTGCAGATGATACTCCAAAATGCATGGGAATGGTAAGACGGAAAGAAAGGAGAAGCAAAAAGAAATTAAATAATGGAAGTGAAAACCAAAGTCAAAATAGGAAGAAAAGGTCAAAGGAATGGCAGAGGTGCCAGGCTAGCAGAGTCAGACCACAGTTACTAGGCAGAGGAGTCAAACATCCCTTTTAGGAAGATATACTCAACCATGTGTAATAGGAAAGAAAAATAGCTTTGTATAAAAGTTTTAAGATACACTAAAAATAAAGTTAAAAGAGCAACCCTTGCAAGAGCAGCCAACTGGCATTAAGGAAGTGGGCCATATTCAGGTAGGTTGTTTTACAGTTAGCTGTAAAATAATCATTTATTAAAGGTCCTAAAAAAAAAACCTTCAAGCTTATAGTATTGACTGAAAAGACAAAAAGAGGCTAACAGAGGTTAAATGAAGACCGAAGGAACCCTCAGAAAAGCAGGTGTTGCTCAAGCAATCCTCAAAGATGTACAGTCCCCTACTCCTTTCTTGCTTTTAAATCCTGGTTTGTCCAGGACAGGAATTCTCCAACTTCCTTTAAGCAAAACAACCTTTTCTTCAAATGAAGTGAAACTCAAGACAGTACAAAATCTAAGGAACTATTATTACAGCAAAGAGGCTGAAACCCTGCAGCTGCCAGCAGCCCACTTTTAGATTTTCTCTGCAACCTGAAGCAGCTTGAAGCAGCTCCTACTCAGATCCTGGAAAACCACTGATACCAGAAGCAGAGAAATCTGCACCATTCTGCCACTTTTCTGAAATGATCAGTGTCAAATAGGCTTAATGTTCAATGACTGTGAAAATGCATGCAACACAGCACTTGCAGTAAGGCCAGTTTCAAAAACAGTAATGAAAAGCATGGAGTTGATGTAATAAATTCCTTCTCTTCTTTTGTCATTAAGGCCATATGAGGGTTTAACAAAATTAGTAATATAGTTACAGTAAATCTTCTGCCTCACACATATGCTGAAAGACTGGAGAGTAGGAGCCCAGAAGACGTCAGAGACAGGCTAAGCAAGCTGCTGAGGACTTTTTACCAAAGAAAGCCATATCTCATAAGAAACATAACTAATCCCCATTGTTTTCACTGCTAGAGGAAAACAAGCACATGAGAGAACTTGCTGAATTGGCTGTATAAAATCCACCCAGGATCCAATCAAGCTGGATTCATGCTGACTTCATGCCACAGAACCAAAATAAGTCACAAAATGCTTTGCCTAAAACTTTCTCAGCTGAGAAACAACACAAAACAACTCTCTTTACTTGGCCTTCTCTCTACCACGAAGGAATCTGGTAAGTAACTGTGTAGTTACTACTATTGTAGAGAGTATCACTTCATAGTGGAAGATACCAGTGGGTTCAAAATTGAGTTCTGGGTGGAGAACAGGAGACAGAGCAAGAGAAAAAAAGACAGAGGCACCTAAAGTGGGGGGTGAAAGAGGGGGTGGGGGTGAGAAGAGACGGCTCAGTAGGTAAAAGAACCAAACCTGACTACCTAAGTTCAACCCCACACAGTAGGAGAGAATCAATTCCCACAATTTGTCCACTCCCTCCAAACTGGTATGCCCTGGCACGTGCACATTCACATGTGTAAACACAAAATTTACCCATAGTAAAAAATAATAGTAACTGCAGAATGAGCAAGGCAGACTACAGCATGCAAGAGGGGTATATCACTGAGCACAGGTGTTTGAGACCCATCTGGGCAACATATCAAGGCTCCATGAAAACAAAAGGATGGAGGCAGAAGAGTTGCATATAAAGGAAGGAATGGTACTTACTAACTATACTGTCTCTTTATTCTAACTACCAAACTCTACAATAAGGAATTTTAAGTGGGTTCCAACAGGTAGAAGGAAAAGGAAGTAATTTAGTTTGAAACTTCCAGAAACAAAGCAGCAATATAAGCGCTTTCTAAAAAAGCATTTATTTGTTTGTTTATGTGTGCATTGGTGTTTGGCCTGCATGTATGTCTGTGTGAGGGCATCAGATTCTCTGGAACTGGAGCTACAGACAGATGTGAGCTGCCCTGAGGGTGCTGGGGATTGAAGCTGGGTCCTCTGGAAGAGCAGCCAAAGCTCATAACCACTCAGCCATCTCTTCAGCCACTGTAAGCAGTTTTTAAAGACAAGACTCCCAATCTTTTATCGCTTTCCAAGAGGTAGAAGACCCTATAACGAATCTCTGCATGGTGGTGTATGCACTTGGGAGGCAGAGGCAGGCAGATCCCTAAGTTCAAGGCCAGAATGGTCTACAGAACGAGGTCCAGGACAGCCACAGCTACACAGAGAAATCCTGACTTGAACAAAAAAAAAAAAAAAAAAAAGAAAGGAAAAAAAAATCTCTGCAATGGTGAGGTGACACATCCGATTTTCAAAGAAAGAATGAATGAAATGGCATAGGACAGAAAACCAGTGTAACCAATTTTAGGAACAAAACATCAGGTCAGGTTGTATAAATTCAACTCCCAATATAAAATCACACATGTTTGCTAAAGCAAACATAAACTAAGCTCATATAAACAAGGCAGAAAATCAAGTAAGAAGTCCTGACAGATGGCTTGTGATGCCTGAAAACATATTTGAGAACCAGATGATAGACTGGGGATCCAGATTTTAGCAAAAAGTTGATCCAAACCTCAAGGGAAAAGGAAAAGTAGGCAAAACAAGGCTTGTTAAGCATCATGACTAACTGGCAAAATTTGGCTTTCTCCATTGTAGGGCCTTGGGCATGTTTAAAATTTAACTAAGAAGTGATAAATGATACTTATGAAGTCTTTTCTATAGATGTATAGGTGAAGGAACCAAACTTTCCGGTGCACCTAGACATTATGTGAGGGCAAATGCCAGATCCTTCATACAAGCTGCTGCCTACTGTTAAAACTCAAGAGTCAGAGAGGTCCCTTCAAAAACTTGCCTGTGGGGTGTGGGCTTAAGGCAGACACCTCCTCTCCAGCACAAGGGCATCCTCCACTGGAGGGCTTGATCTCAAGTCTTTGCTACATCAAACCCTTAGTTAGCAGTTTGCTACCAGAAGCCAGTTAAAAATGCAGATCCTCAGGCAGGTGTGGTGACATACGCCTTTAATCCCAGCACTTGGATGGGCAGAGGCAGCTGGATCTCTGTGAGTTCAAGGCCAGCCTGATCTACAAAGTTCCAGGACAACTAGGGCTGATACAGAGAAACTGTCTCAAAAAAACAAAAACAAAAAACAGATTCTCAGGACCAATCAACTCATAACCTACCTTTTAACACCATAGCCTGGTGGTTCCTACGTACACCAGAGCAGGAAATGCACTGAATGAAGTCTCCCACCACAGAATATAGGCTAATAAAGCTACTTTCACAGTTACAATGGATTTTAAAGGTCTAGATACATAAGGCTCCAACAGTGAGTCTTCTGTCAAGGATTTTGACAAGCAGGAGTGCTGTGGCTGAGGTAGTATCTAGAACAAGGTAACTTTCCTCTTTCCTTTTTTAAGTCTAAGAATAAAAGGGGTGGGGATTCAATATTCACTTACCCGTTGATAGATGTTCTAGACATAAACAGGCTAAAAACAGATGATACAAAAGAATGATAGAGTTGGATAAATAGCCAGCCAGATTTCTCAATGCTGTTGTTTAAGAAGATCTGTGTTCCTTGATCAAGATAACTCTGAACAAAGACAGACTGAAGTGATTCACATAACTTCTCTCTGTTGCACACATACCACTAGGGGAAAAAAAAAGAACATTAAGCATAGTTGATTTAACATCTAAGAAAACAAACAAATTAAAAAAAAGATATCTAAGATCTTCAAATATACTCTCATGACTCTGAGGGCAATCATCAGTCATCTTTTCTGCCCACATAACCCACAAAGTACAAACTTCTTTGGGTATGACCTCTCACTTGATTCTCATGACCCAGCCCTCTCTAGGTGGAGAGGAAGAGGGAGAGAGGTTTTCAGGCCATGCAGCACAGGAAGGAGCTGGTAGAACCAAATCATCAGCCTAGGTCTTAGAACCCCGACCCAAGGCTTCAGTCACAGCACAAGTCAAGTCAGAAGACCTTCCTTGGCTGAGACTGAATCATCACATAATCCAGAGATGGAGCTCAAATCTGTCAACCAAATCAGCAGCACAGTGAGCAAGAATTAGTACTCTGGAAAACACATCAGGTTGCCAGCCTGTATTCTTCAGAGATATAAGGAAAAGAGACCTTCAGACAGCTTGGGATGTGTTTTAGCAATATGCCTGTCAGCAACTCTTAAGAGACTACAAGGTGAGCTCAAGAAAGCTGCATTTCATTCTGTAGTCAAGGAGAAGACAAGTGATGACACACTAAAAAAGGATTTCAAGGAATAGGCTCTAGCCAGAAAATATTTTTTTAAACAAAATTCTACAACTATAGATACAGTCAACCTTCCAGGCTAGACACATGGCTCAGTGGTTAAAAGCACAGGCTGACCTCGCAAAAGACCCAGACTCAGTTTTCCAGGACCCACATGGCAGCTAACAACCATCTGTAACTCCAGTTTTAGGGAATTTAATGCCCTCTTCTGGCTTCCTTGGGCACAACATGCACGTGATACATGTATATACATGCCGGCAAAACACCCATATGCATAAAAATAATTTTGTTTGTTTAGCTAGCCTTCCAAAACAAACATTTCCCATCTCCCTAGAGTTAGTGTAGCAGAAAAGTGGTTAAGTGGGTTTCATAGCAGCTTCAGTGTTAGACCCACAAGCAATCCTAGCTCTATAACTGCTGTGTGAGCTCAGACAAGGTGATCCACCAGTATCTCTCTTGGTAAGGTACTATGAAAATTAAACAAAAATAGTGCAGGCAAGTCAGTACAGCACAAAGCACACAGCAGACACCTATGAAAGCAGTAGTAATTCCTCTAATACAGATACCCACAAGTCTCTTATATACAGTGGGAAAACTGCAGAGACATTACTTTTAGTGCATTATTTATTAGAAAACCACTAACTTTTCCAAATAAGGAGTCTACTAGTTAAAAATGACTTGCTTAAAACCTTGACAAATCTGACCACTTACCAGCAGTAAAGTGTCCCATAACTTCCTGCACAATTAGTGGAGCAACTTTACAGTCATCCAACACTTACTAATGCTGAGTACAATCAGTCTTCCTGACACTAACATTAAAAGAAACCAAATGTAAGCCAGCAAAAACATGCAAAGGGTCACAGTAAATGTCAACGATTCATCCTTTATACACCCTATATACTCCAAACCTTCTCGTTCTTGATTACTTTGTACTAACTTGCTATTTAACCACTGTTACCAAAATTGCCTGAGCTTTTACCTAAAACATCTTGTTGTCTCTGCCCTACCCAGTGACAAGCTATAAAATGGCTTAAATCCACAGCCAACACTTCTCTCCTTGGTCTGGAAGTGTTCTTGTTTACTCATTTACTAACCCTGAAAATTTACTGAGCCTGAAGCTATGACCCCATACAGCTCATAAATCATTTTTATTATACTCATGACCTTGTGCACATTCTGAACTCTAAACTCTGAGCTATTCTGACTTTTATTTTTTACTCTGAAATGACTAATCAAGTTGAAACCCAGCACCTTGCTAACAGGCAATCAGGAACATTCCAATATTGTGGGCAAGAAGTCATTCAACTGAAAACCAGGAGCTAAGAATTTCCTGGCATCCATTTGTAAATGAACAACAAGAATAACAATGGATTCTGACTTCCAAAAGTAAGCAAGAAGTGGCATCATTTACAGCTACTATTGTTTTCAAGCACCATCTCAAATTTTAATAGTATATTTCTCCATTCATAAATATTAACACACGTGGTTGAACCTTTACTGCCACAAAAGTTTTCTCAGGAAAGAATCTGGTGGTTTGGATAAGAATGGCCCCCATAGGCTCATATATTTGAATGTTTAGTCATCAGAGAAGGGCACTATTTTAAAGGATTAGAAGGATTAGAAGATGTGGTCTTGCTGGAGAAGGCGTGACCTTGTTGGGGGAAATGTGTCACTATGGGTATGCTCTGAGGTTTAACAGCCCATGCCAAACCCAGAGTCCCTCCCCAGGCCTGCAGATTGGCATGTAATTCTTGGCTACTGCTCAAGCACCTGTGTGCCACCATGTTCCCTGCCATGATGACAACAGACTAAACCTCTGAAACTGTAAGCAACCCTCAATTAAGTTTTTATTTTCTTTCCTAAGAGTGCCTGGGTCATGAAGGGTTTTCACAGCAATAGAAAGCAACACAAGACGATTAGTAAATGGAATATACTGCTGAATAAAAAGGAGTAAAGCTCTTCCCTGTGGAGGTTTCCATGCCCCTTCTGGTCAGTTATGTCATACAAGGCTCAAGTTCACAACAGCACCAGACATCATTACCAAAAAGCAGAAACAACTCAGCTGTCCATTAACTGATGAGTAAAAAAGTGTAGTAGATACACACAAGGGAACAATATCTTACCATGAAAAGAATAAAGTATCCAGAGGATAAGCCTTGACAGCACACTAAGTAAAATAAGCCAGTCATAAGAGGTCACCTACTGTATAGTTCTACTTATATCAAACATCTATGATATAGAAATCCAGAGACAAAAAGCAAATTCTGTAACCCAGGCCTTGGGTCAAGAGACAGTAGGAACTGGCTTATTAATGGACATAAGAATTCTATTGGAGAGGGAACTGGGATTGACATGTAAAACAAGCTATTTAAAATTAAAATAAAAAAAATTTAAAAAAAAATAAAAAAACAAAAAAAAAAAGAATTCTATTGGAGGTAGTAAAAATTTCCAAAGTTAGATATTAGTGATGGCTATACAACTCTACAAATGCTAGAAACTATTATACATTATGAATTTTTTTGTGAGGACTGAGGAGATACCTCAGTTGATAAGGTGCTTGCTTTGTAAACATGAAGACCTGCATTCAGTGACTAGGACCCACATAAATGAAGAAGCCAGGCATGTGGTGGTAAATATAACCCAGTACTGGAGAGGTAGAAAAAGATAAAGTCCAAGGGCTTGCTGGCCAGTTAGCCTTGCCCTGCATATTTGGCCAGTGATGAACCATCTTAAAGAGAACAAAGTGGACAGCACCTGAAAAATGACATTCAAGGTTATTCTGAGTGCCACTTACACTCATAAACATGCACACACACATACACACAATTTTCACAGCAAACACACCTACACACAGGTGGGTAGTTTGATCCTATAGAAATTAAGCACTCTGGAAACACATATGACCTAGCAAATAATATGTAACAGTATAATGGTCAAAGTGCTCCCCACGGTTTCCAAGGCCTTACAAGACCATTGTTCTCTCTTGTCCACAGCCTCACCTCACAGCATGTACTACCATGGTCCTGGGCTCTCACTTTGTCCGCTGTTCTGTACTCTCTTCTAACGGCAGTTTCCCACAGCTATTCCACACAACATTTGTTTCTGCCCACTATGCTCCCTGCCTGGTTAGTGCAGCCCTACTTAAGCATGTCCTCAGTTTCCCTGAACTTGTAGAGTAACTTAGAGTTCCCTGTACTAACCCCCTCTCATACATTCCATGTGTCTCCTTGGCAATATGTGTGTCAGCTGAATAGTTTATTCCATGTTTAGCATCTATCTTCACAGTCAAAAAGTTCATAAAGACTGGTACAATAGATGACTTCAGAGTTAGGTAGACAGAGACAAATGATTTATTTGCCTCTGACTCTCTAAACAATTGCTGCTAAGACTCACAGGAAGTCTACATACATAGAATCTGGCATCTTTAACAAACTCGTAAAGGAAACAAGGATAACCACAGAAACATCCTGTCACTGGGTTGTCAGCAGCTCAAACTCCAGGGTTTCTATAAGGCTCTATATAACCATAACTTTGCAAATAATGGTTAAAAATTATCTGCTTACCTGTCTACCACAAAACTGCATTATCACACACAAGCTCACATGGAGAGAGACAGTGAGCACCCGTAGGTATCAGGCACCTGGTAATCTTTATGTTGCAATTACGCCACATATTTTTTTGTTTTGTTTTTTGAACAGGGCCTTACCCTGTAGCACAGGTTGATCTGGAACTTACTATGTAGCTCAGACTAGAGGCAACAGTCCTGCCTCACCCTCCCAAGTTCTAGAATTACAGGCATGAGCTATTTCTTCTGGGTTAAACTTCGTATCTTTGGAACAGAAGGAAGTCTAGAGTCCCAGTGTGTCTTCAGCCGCTTCTAGATCCTATTCCTGTGACTGTATGCCAAGAGCATCTTTTAAAAAGGGTTCTTGCTTCACTCTATCCAGTACTGCTTGAAAATAAACAGGGCTATTCTCCAATGAAGCTGGTCTGGACAAGTCTGAAGAAAAAATAATCCAGTCTGGACTGTGTATTCCTACGGGCCAGTGTTTCTCAATCTTGGCACTGACACTTTGGCTTTGGAACCCTTTGTTACAGACTACCTTTACTTATCAGATCCGAGTAGCACCACCCCAGTGCACAAAATGCCCCCCAGGGAGCAACTGCCACTGCTTGAGAACGTATATGAGAACTGGATTTAGCCAGTAGTGTTTTCTAACTACCATGGCTTAACTGTGATCTAAGACGACTACTAGATTACAGGAGGGACTCATTGGTTTCGGGAACTTGAATTCCAGAAGGGAAAATGAATCTGAAATCCAAACAAACAAGAAGCAATGAGACTATGATTTGGGTTCCAACTTGCAGAGCCCTCGATA